ATGATGGATAGGTAGACAGACATTGATAGAGGATGGACACATAGACACATAATAGATGATGGATAGGTAGACATAGGTAGATAAATAGATGATAGATGATGGATAGGTAGACATTGATAGAGGATGGACACAGATAATAGGTGATAGATAGGTAGACATAGGTAGATAAATAGATGATAGATGATGGATAGGTAGACAGACATTGATAGATGATGGACACATAGATAATAGATAATGGATAGATAGACATAGGTAGATAAATACAGACATGATAGATGATGGATAGGTAGAGATAGATTAGATGGAGAGATGATAGATTAGATGGAGATTGACAGATTTTATATATATGTATAGAGTGGGGAGGAAGAGAGAGGCAGATAAGTAGGATAGATAGACAAGTAGAGAGAGGGTGGGTGTAGAGATAGGATAGAAGACAGAAGATATAGATGATGGATGATGGATAGGTAGACAGATAGATGATGGCTATAGATAATCTGAGTCATTAGAGACAGTAATTGAACTCACTTCCCAGCCTTCTCCTTAATTTTTTCTCTACACTTTGGCTATCATCTTCACTTCTCATTTTTTTTTTCAGAGAAACAGGCAGTTTTCGAGGGAAGAAATCCAAGCTATGAACAACTGTCTTTTAAAAAGTGCCAACTCACTAATTAGAAAAATGCAAACTAAGACAACTCTGACGTGCCAGCTCACACCTGTTAGACTGGCAAAGTTGACCTAGGAAGGAAAAGGCCAAGGTCGGAGGGGCTGCGAGGAGAAAGGCCCACTCACCCTCATCAGCAGAGATACGAGCTGGTCCAGTCATTCTGGAGAGCACTTTGGAACTCTGCCATTAAACTGTGTGAAGAAACCCTTTGACCCTGCACCGGGGCTAGCTTTGTCCCCTGAGGAGATCAGAGGAGGAGGAAAAGAGACTGTCCCAAAACGTCCCCAATTATGACAGCAACACTTTCTGCGATGGCAAAGAACCGGACACGAAGGGGGTGTCCATCGGTTGGGCCATGGCTCAGCGGATGACGATGGATGAAGGTGAGGGAATATTCCTGTACCACAAGGAGTGATGGATGAAAGGGATGGTTTCAGAGGAAACCAGGAAGACGTGTGCGGGCTGATGCAGAGCGAAGCGGGGCCAGAACAATTCATAGGCTGGCCGCAACACGACAGCCAAAACACTTTGAAAGCTGCAGGACCGCGGATCCGAAGACAGAGCGTGGAGGAAAAGCTCGAGGTTGGCCTGCTGACGCAGGCGATGGAATCACGGCCGTGGGCAAGGAAGGGGTTTGCGCTGACTTTCTGATCGTGTCGAGAGCTTTTTCTCTTGGCGGTTCAGTGGCGGGGGGAGGGGAAGGGAGAAGAAATAAATGCTCGTGTTTTTAGAAAAGAAAAAGAGGGGAGAGAATGGAACCAAGGGGACCCAGAGAGGCCGGCCTCGAGGAGAAAGGCCGCCTCTTCATGAGAGACAGTGGAAGGGGCCAGTGCTACGGCTGTGTAAGAGGCGCAGAAAGGTGAAAGGCCTCGATTTTTTGTTTTGGGTAAATTAAGAGGCACAGTCTTCAGGTGAGAGTGGGGGTGGGAGGAGCCGAGAGAGGATGCTGGGGTGTTGGAGAGAGAGAAGAAGAGACCGAATGGCCTTTGTGGACATAGGCTGGACTCTCAGAGAGCAGTAAAAGATGCCCCTGCCACAGGACGGCCTCAGGAGATTGGTAACATCGCTCGGTCGTGTGGTTGCCTCCAGCGCCATTCAGCGTCCTGAGTAGGAGCAGAGGACACGGGGGGAGGGAGCGATCCAGGATTGGGGTTTGGTAAGGGGCGGGAAGTTATGGGAGAAGGGCGTTGGGGGGCGAGAGTAAAGGATCACGGCAAGTTGAGGAGTTGAGATGGGGAAGGCAGAAGTGTAGCCCGAGCGGCGGAGGGACCGGGAGACAAAGAATCGATGTGGGAGGAGTGAACAATAGGGACTAATGGGATAGGAAAGTGTGATTGGTTAAAGGAAGCTCAGATGTCCGGGCCACGGAAGTGGAACCCCCAAGGTGGGGCCAAGAGCAACCCCAAACCCACACTGTCAAAACACAGCGGGGGCCGTGGTGCGGTGGGAAAGAACCCTGGGTTCAGATCCTGCCTCCTGTCCACACTAGCTTTTCTGACGACGTGAAAGTCATTTCACCCAAGTTAGAGCTTTCCACCTCACACACAATGGACTCTGCATTTCGCCGTGGAAGAGGACTCTAAGGGATGGCTTTCTCCAGGAGTTTGAGTCAGAGGACGGGGATCGAACCCAGAACGCCCTGCCCGACCTCGATTCCTGTAGAGAACGAGGGCTTGGGCTCAGAATCCCAGAGAGGTGCAGCAGCCAGGGCACCGGCCCAGCTGAGGAGCCCAGCCCAGAGCCCCGGGGGCGGCCTCCACGCCACCGCCCCACCGTGCCTCAGGGCACACGTCCCTGGTGGCAGTACCAGCCCAGGACTCCCCGTGTGGCTTCTCTTGGGTGGGCGGTTCCCTGCTTACACCTGAAATGCCGCGCTCTGTGGGACATGTCCCTAGGGCATGTTCTTACCGTACAGCTTTTGTATCGCTTTCCTGTCTGCCCAATCCAGTTCGAACCCAGTCTCCTGGGAAACATAATTCGGCTGCATTATTGATCCAGTCCTGTCCAGGTGAGGCAAGCCTAGGACGTGGCCAATTTCATGAACTGCTACCTAGGAGTGGAGCACAGACGCCTTCAGTACATTCTTCTTAGGCCTTTCACGTGATGGCCGATCGATGAGCGTTGGACTGCTTCAATTATAAGGGTCTGCTGTGTTTAACAAAACTCTTACGCATTAAAGCCGGAAGGAAGAGGGATTTATGGGGGACTTATCGGCGTAAGATTCTCAGAAGTTATAAACCTAATTCGGCTCCTTGGCCCCAGTGCGAGTCTCTTACTTTGAGCAGACTGATCCCCTTGTCACTTGGGGGGGGTGTGAAGTGCTCATCATCGTCGAAGTGAATGTCCCCAAAGTTCCAGGCATGGGCAAACTCTTGGCCACTCCCGTCAAATGCCCGGCTGCAGCCCAGGTGTCGTCCTGGTGAGAGTGGAGACGGCGCAGATGAAGCACTGTGCGTTTGCGTGTGTGTTGGGGGTGGGTAGGGGGGCTGATTAAAAAGGAGGCCACGTATTTAAAAGAACAGGAGTAGCGAGCTCAAGCTGGAACCCCTGCTTGGTACAGATGAGCAGGCTGGGGCCAGGACCATTGATCTGGGTCTGTGGATCACAGAGCTCGACCTGAAAGGGTCCTGCAACCATCTGGTACAACCCACCACATTTCATAGATGATGAGGGGATCTGAATGATTTGCCCAGGTAAGAAATGCAGGGCAGAGGTAGGTTTGGGACCCAGCCGGAGCTGGTCAGTGTTTGCTGACCGCCTGGGGGACTGACTCACCCCTTCCAAACCCCAGCCTGATATCGATGAGGGCTGCGGGAGAAAGGCGGTCCTCTTTGAAGGTGAGCGGGGTCACCTCGCTCCACATCCGGAACGCCAACCTAAAGATGAACCTCTGCTCCTCGATGGACAGCTGGCCGCTGTAGCCCTCCCCGACCAGCCTCCACCTCAGCAGCCTCCTGGAGAAGGCTCTCTGCCCGCGGGCGCGGAGAGGGCCCGGCTCCTGCTCTTGCCTCCTGGCCGGCGGCGAGAGCAGTTGCAAGAATCGTTTCTTACGCACTTTGGCGCTCGGGCCTGCGCTCCCTCCCCTGGGCGTGATGCTCAGAGGTGCCCCGTCTCTTCCAGCCAAGCCGGTGCCCGAAGTCAGCGGCAGCGGGTCTACCTTCGACATGGGCTGGCGGTCAGGCATGCCGCACCGGGGTCGGTTCATGGCCGCCAGGGTGGCTTCATCCAGCTGTCCGGTCACCGGTAACTGGCTAAAGGACTGGAACTTTGTGATGGCCTTTACGAGGCCTGGGTCTCCGCTGGGTCCCGCCAGGAATTTCCCTCTTTGCCTTGGCATGGAAGTCGCCTCCTGCACGCTGGGGAGATCTCTGAGCTCCGCAGGAGGTTTGTCATCGGTGCTGGGCCCCGAGATATCCGAGGAGGAGGCCATGCCCCCACTGGACCCTTCTGTCCAGCCATATTTGGATAAGAACAACTGAAATAAAAAAGTAAAATCATGACTGCAGCACCGTTGTGTCAGCGTGGCCTCTTTACACAATTAAAAACGTGGGTCTGAAAGCAGGGGAGCAGGTGGTGCCGGCAGTGTTTCCAGCGTGGGGGAACAAAGCAGCCCCTGCCCTCAAGGGGCTTATGTTCTATTGAGGAGACATGTGCAGATAGAGGTATGTGGAAAACACCCAGAAAACAGATTTAAGCTATCTTTGGAGGGAAAGGCTTGAGCAGCTTGGGGAGAGGGACAGGGCAGGAAAAGCCTCCCGCAGAAGAGACGATTTGAGCTGAGTACATGAGGACGCCATGGAGGACTCTTAGCCTGGCCTTCAGGGTTCGCCACCATCTGGCTCCCGTCTAGCTCTCCAGCCTCTTTACACTGAACTGACTGGACGTCCCATCTCCCGCCTTGGACCATTCGCACAAGTGACTCTATTCCCTATGCCTGAAGTGCATGCCTTTACCTCTCAATCAATCAGCAAACCTTTATTAAATGCCTCCTATTGACCGAGGACCCTCAGAAGCCTTTTTTTCCTTCAAGGTTTAACTCACTCTACATTACTCCTCATATTCATTTAATTGTGCACGTGGTCAGCATCTCTCAAGTGGCTGGCGCATTATGTTTCTATTAATAAACCATGTTTTTTATTCATTCAGTTGTATATAGAACATAAGCTCGTTGAGTCAGGGAGGAAGGACGGTTTCGTTTTTATCTTATCCCTGGCACAGTATTTTACACACAGAAGGTGCTTAATACACGTTTGTTGGATGCATCTCCTTTGCAGGACTCATAATTGTTAAGTGCAAGTCATTCCCAACTCTGTCAGCCTGCCTCCTTTGGTGGATATCTTAGCAAGAGGAAGGATCCTGCCTAGCATGCAGGTGCTGGAAGATCCATCCACCTCAGCCCCACTTTACAGATGGGGAGAGTGAGACCTCAGAGCGGGGAGGAGGCTTGCTCTACATAGTGATGTGGACACAGCTTCAGAGCCAAGATTAGGACAGACTCGTCTTGTTCTGTTGGCTTTTGCATAAGCACTCTACAAGTCAGTGAAGTGCATCTCAACTTGGAAAAGCCTCAGTCTAAGAATTCAATCCAGCCCTCCCTCCCGAGAAGACTCTTCCTGCCTTTATCTTCACAGAGGACCAGGAAATGAAAGGTAGAGGAAATATTAATTTACCCAGTTAAGTTACAGCATCGATGGTCACTTAGCACAAGAGCAAATATTTGTATTTGGAAAAGACTTTGGCTTCTTCCTCCCCTCCCTATTGCCCTTCTTCCTCCCTTCCCTTCCCTCCCTTCTTTCCTCTTTCCTTTCCTTCCCTCACTCCTTCCTTTTCCTCCCTCCTTCCCTTCTTCCTTTCTCCTTCCCTCCCTCTTTTCTTCCTTCCTCCCTTCCTTTTCCTTACTCCTTCCCTGTCTTTTCCTTCTTCCTTCCTTCTTTCTTCCTTCCCTTCCTCCCTTACTTTCCTCCCTCTCTCCCTCTTTCCTTCCTTTTCTCTTTCTTTCCCTCTCTTTTCCTTCTTCCTTTCCTCCTTCCCTTCCCTCCCTTCTTCCTCCCTTCCTCACTCCTTCCCCTCCTCTTTTCCTTCTTTTTCCCTCCCTCCCTCTTTCCTTCCTTCCTTCCCTCCCTCTTTCCTTCCTTCC